CAAACTGTATTAGCCCCCCCCCTCCAAATGCCCCAGTAGGACCGAGGGTGGTGAGAGTCTGCTCTCCCTCTCAAAATGCTCTGACATAGCAACGTGCATACAGCCACTTCCAGGGAAGTCCTACTCCTACTGGGCATTATTTACGAAAATTGAGAGGACGAAAAGCGAATGTCAGGCGCTTTAACCGGGTTGATGGACACAGAAAATCCACCTAGAGGAGTTGGAAAACCCTGGTTTCAAACCAATGGTACATATTTGTTCCAGTGTAGTGAAGGAAGAAATGGCGTGTGAATCAATCGTTGGTCACCGGCTATCATGGGACTGCATCTGCTCACGACGCTCCACTGCCTTTTGTATCAGACCTTTAGGTCAAAGGCTCCGGGTGTGGCTTCCTAATAAAAACACCTGCTTCGGTTTGGGCACCTGGGCAGTATCACAACCCTTACACAAATCCGATGAGATTTGTGTGGCGCATATTTATCTGGTGCCCTTTTGTACCACCATTTATGTGTTTAAATAAATAAATAAATAAGTTTCTTGTAAATAGTACAGACCTTGTTCTACGAATCTACTCTTTTGTTCGTCAATGAATTTGATAGAATGTAAGGAAATGTAAAAGATATCGTAGAAATCTTATGGATAGAGATTACTGTCACGTACCATTTGAATATAAATTTATTGGTCTCTTCTATTCATCAACAACTTACATATATAATCATGAAAAGGTTATCTATGATGCATAGATTCGAACCAAGAGAACCAAGTGTCATTATGTTGAGGCTGAACATTTTCTCAATGGTTTTATGACATATCTACTTGCACATTTCTGATTAGCGTTCTTTTAGAGAGTTAGTTTTCTACGGGATGAGGTCGCTAACCCCATGCCCAACCCTCCTCCTTTACCCGGGTTCGGGACCGGCAGTAGCCCCCGGAGGAGCTACAGGCGGAATTTTTTTAATTAGTTAAAATTACAAATGTAATTTGCACTTCGATCATCATTTCAAAATTCACTTCAAAATTTTCAACTTAAAAATCTGGTTAAGAATCATTAATTACTAATAAATGAATTATACATAAACTTGATAAAACACATACTGAAATGATTAAATAACATAATTTCGGTTCTGATATCATTCGTTATTAAAACTATTATTGTGGTGTGTGCTACTTGTTGTGGTGCGATAGTCGGCTGGCTTCTGCGGCAATGCGCTTAAAGATATCGTTCACAAACGAGTTTATGATTGACTTTGCCTTCGACGAGATACCAGTGTCAGGATGAACTTGACGAAGAACTTTATAGATGTAGATAGCATAACTCTCCTTCCTCCTTCTCTTCTTATTCTGATCAATCTTCGGCAGCTTAACCTTCGAGGCTTTCTTTGCAGCTCTATCAGACACAACTTTAGGAGGCATCGCTTAGTAGACGAATGCGTAATATATAGCGTAATATATAACGCTAGTCAGGAATAGAATGTCTGGTAGCAGAAGGTTGAGAAGGTTGATGAGAGAAGAATGAGAACAGACAGCAAATGGTATGGAAATGCAGGAACAATAAAGTCTGAAATAATTAATGAACATTTTGCAAATGAAGTATTAGAGTATGGTTTTTCTATTTTATGAAGTAACTCTGTAATTCTATACTAAATGTAGTCGGTTGTCCCCATCTGTGTTCTTCTTCACTACATTAGAAAATAATATTATAATCAAGCCCATTTATGATTGTGTATCGGCTTCTCATAATGAAAACTACTGAAATATGTTGTCATAGATTTTCTTCAGTTGCATGAACATTGACTAATCATATTTATATGATATACCGGCCGATATAATGATTGCAGCCATCCAATTAAAGTTCTAAGTGAAATATTGGGAGAAATTAAAAATCAAACACGCATCTGTACAGAATGAATAATTCACAGAATACTAATGACATACTTGATGCTGTTGCGAGTTCACCTTACTCGGTAAACGGAATGAAGGTCAATGACACAGTGACACGATGGGCTATTCTAAAACGTTATCCTCGGCCCTGCTAACTAGATCAAGATGTCTTGATGAGGCGCAGAGAATGTATTCTACAAGCACCCAGAAAATACGAGGTCACTGAGCACACAAATTAAGCTTATTTATACAATGATAGAAACGCCATTGGGGGAGCCACAAAATAGCGTACTAAAAAAATCCGTCAACCAATGACAGTCAAAGAAGTCCGAGTGGGGGATGTAAGCTGTAAGTGAACTAAACGTTTCTTGGCGGGAAAACATAAAATTCAAATTTTCAAAATGAAATTACAAAATTAGGACCTTTTCCAAGTGAGTTCTGGGGATCTAACGTCTCCAACAACTATTACTTATTTCTTTAAAAATGAGTAAATTCTGATCAACAACTAGAACATCTTAGACCAACTCTTGTAGACTATTGTTACTAGTATAAGAACAATAGATCTAATTACAAAAGCATTCTTACAAAGAAGCACAAGTAAGTTAATTACCTACTCATAAAGGAAATCTGACAAGGGTTCAGGAGTTGTTCTTCTCAATAAAAGTGATTATAATGACGAAATGGGCATGATCTTAGATGAAAAATTAAAATTTCAAAAAATAAGTGACCAGAAAGATCTCAATAATAAGATAGAGAATGAACTTACCAAATCTTTGAAGAAGCTCAAAGGGCTAGCAGATTATTTCGTCGGGTTTATATGAAATGATTGTATCAATGGGAATCTATCTGTCAAGATTGTATACAAACTGGGGATCTCATTAAGATTAATTTTAGATATTTATAACTCTCTTTATCATACTATAGCTAAATGGTTGGTAACTATATTGAAACCACAAGAAATTTATAAAATATAGAGTTAAGCATGTATTCCGATTTGTTGACAAGAACAAAAAATACAAATACTTTTGAACTAAAGATGATGTCTTTGGATGTAACAGCATTATTCACAAATTTTCTACTCATAGAGACCGTAGAATCTGTAGGTGAACAAATGATTGAAAATGAAATTGAAACTACAGTTCTTATTATTATTGTAAAAGAGTTATTACTGAAATGTACCATGAATATGAATTTCAAGTTCAACAGAGAAATATATAGACAAACGGATGGTGTTGTAATAGGTTCAACATAGGGCCCTATACCAGATAACAATTTACTTTTCAAACTGGAAAATGATCGACTTAAAAAGATTATTCAAAAAATTTACACTTTACTGTAGATATATGGATGATACGTTTGTCTTCTGTAAATATAATGAAGTACATTCAGACATTGGGTTTACATCTGAGGAAGAAAGTGATGGTAGAGTGGCCTTTTGATGCGTTCTCTCAACTACGAGAGCGGATGGATCATTAAAAAAAATTCAAACAGAAAAAACACCTGGACTGGGCAGTATACACATTTCCTTAGCTTTGTAACTCTATCGTGAATAAGAAATCTCTTTTTTGATACGCCTACAATTCAGAGGGGATGTGGCTATTGAAATATTAACTCATATATTACGCAGAACAATACAAAACTCTTTCAACGCCGGAGAACTACGATTAGTGTTTACTACGCACCCAATGATGACACTGAAGCTAAAAGATGAATTACCTAGAATGACTAATTCACTTCGTATCAATCCGTTCAACTGCTCCTGTGGAACAATTCATATTGGTCGAAGTTCTAGAAATTAACATTTTCGTGCTCGCAAACACTTCCCAGAGTGTCTAAACAAAGGTCTCCTGAAGAAAACGAACATCTGATATTGACCCATGTAGTGCAGACTGCTTAATATGCCAGTATAAACCAATCTTTTAATATTAATTATCATATCAGTACATTTTACTAAAGCTTGTCAGACTTAAAGTCTTTCAAACGGTTGAAACAGTAGCCATCAGTATTAAGAAACCAATGCTATGCGTACAAAATAAGTATTTTCAACCACTTCTCTCCTGGCCAACCTAAAGGTCAATTAGTTAATAGCAATCTCAGTCATTGAATGACCTAATTTGACTATTGCATTTACGACCTTTTGTAGTCAAATGTACTTATCTCTGTTATCTTTATTCACAAATCTTTGTATGATTATTGTCTTTACTATCGGTGTAACATTATTACATGATTCATTTATTTCGAATTCATCCTACCTTATTATGTCTTACTAATAATTGTTTACACAATGTAGTCTTCCACTAAACACTCATTCGAATTGTAGTTGTACTATTATCTGTTTCACTCTATCTGACCTATATTTATTTGGATCATGGATCCTAAAATTTTCACTTAACATATAAGTAAATTCAAGTTAAAATTCTATGAGTTGTATCAACATTAGGAATTTTATTCTATATATGCTAACTAGTGAATGGCTTCAAGAGATGTTTCCTGGAATTCTAGTGAGAAGCAGTGACCAGTGGAGTTCAACCAGGTCTGTTGTGAGATTGTGTCCCTTAATTTCATGGATCGGTTGAAGTTAGACATGCCGGCTCAGTGGTCTCAAGGTTAAGCGCTTGAGCGCGATAACGATAGGTCCTAGGTTCGAATCTCGCGAGGCAGGATCGTGAATGCGCACTGCTGAGGAGTCCTACAATAAGACGAAACGGCCGTCTAATGCTTCCAGGTTTTGCATGATAGTGGAAACTAAGAAGCTACTTTCTTATTATTTGGGATTCATCAACTGAATGAACCTATATCCCAGTGTTGACAGTTATATCATGAATTGAACTATGTATCTTTCACTTGAAATATTCAATTCATCATCTAGTTAGCTATTAAGTTCAAAGATGAATGATATATCAATTCAAAGAGAAAGTACTTTATGTACTAATAAAGTATTAAATGAACTTTTCTATTGGTATGATCATACAATTAATCAGTTTCGATTTACATCAAACAAAATATATACAAATACATACATTACCCTTTTTTTAAGGTTAATCATTTGAAAGTTAAAATTTGATTGGTTTAAATAAATTGCGCACTTTTAATATTTTAAAGACGGTGATCTAGACAATCAGATATAAATCAACATATATATATATATGGATACGGATATGGATATGGATATGGATCTATTCACTTGGAAACAAACTACAAAGTACATTTGATGATACCTATTTCACATATTGGATCTTGATTTAAAGTCTATCCATTCTTCTTGTTTTCTATTCCTTTCACTTTAATAGCGCCATATGCTTCATAGAAGAAATTAATTCCATATCCAAATTTTTTTAAAAAAAAAATTTTTTTTTAAATCATCTTTAATTATTTTTCAAGTTTTTCTTATTAACCCCCCCCCCTAGCGCCCAAAAAAAAAAACGAAAAAAAAATGAAAATTTTTTTATTTTCCATCATAGTAACAATTTTCTATTTACATTTATTTATATTTAAAAAATCAATACAAATGGAGTTAAATGATGTTACACAAACTTTAACAGAATTAAATACGGATTATCCAATAGTAACTGATTATCCAATACGTATGTGTGGTAATGAATTTTTAAAAAATCTTAAATATGTTTGTTCAATACGAGGAATTTATACACCAATAAATCGTTTCAAAAGATCATTTAAACAATATTATAGTAAGTGAATATGATGTATAATATTTTGTTAAATTGTTTTAGGAACTTGAATTAGTTGGCGCCTAAATAATCTGGTAGGGTCGATAATGGGGAGAGTCAGATCTCTTTCTCTCTCTCCCTCTCTTAAAATGTTCTCAAGTGGTCATATGAATACAACTACTGCCATGGAAGTCCTAGTTACTGCCTTGTCATAGCTAGGGTGTTGTTTATGTAATTGAGAGGACAAAAAGAGAATGTTCGGTGTTTTAAACAGGTTGGTGAATATTACGGATCTACCTAGGAAAATTAAGAAACCCTGATTCCAATCCAGTCGTGAACATAGGCTCCAGGATCCTGAGTGAACAAATGCGGTCACTGGTTACCATAGGACTGCATTTCCTGAAGTTGCTCCACTACCATGTGGCTCTGGGTGTGACAATCGAATAAAACTATCTTCTTCGGTTTGGACACCCAAAAAGTATCAAAGCACTCACACGAGTCGAATAATTTATGCGGTGCATATCTATTTGGTGCCTCCTTGTACCAATATTCATGTGTTTAAGTAAATAAATAAATAAAATAAACCTAAAGTAATCACCCTATATAACTAAATCACTGTTTAACTCAAAGCAATGAAGTATTGACTTACAGTTTAACTGTTTTTCATGATTTCGAACTTAATCACTTCAAAAGGAACAGATGAATATATGAACTATGGATTATTTTCTCTATTGTCTAGTGACATTTATTAAACAATTGTTTATATACATTCGAATACTTGATGTTTACAATGATAAGTTTGCCTTAAAATGTTAACTTTTTGGTTGATATCTCCATGAAGAAATTTGAAAGTTACGGCTTATAATTAGTTAGCAGACTCATCGTTTTTATTTATTTAAACACATAAATGTTTGTACAAAAAAGCACCAGATAAATATGCGCCTCACAAATTTCATTTGATTTGTGACAGGACTGTGATATTGCCCGGTTGCTCAAACTGAAGCAGGTGGTTTTCTTAGGGGGCCACTCCCAGAGCCTTTGACCTGAAGGACTAGTCCCAGGGCAGTGGAGCATCGTGAGGAGATGCAGCCCCATGGTAGGGGGTGACCAACGATTGGTTCATACGCCATTTGATCCTTCAGGATACTGGAGCCCATGTACACCATTGGTTTGGAATCAGGGTTTTCCAACTCCCCTAGGTGGACCCTCCATGTCCACCAACCCGGTTAAAGCGCCAGATATTCGCTTTTCGTTCTCTCAATTTCGTGAACAACACCCCTGGTGTGAGAAGGCAGTGAGTAGGACTTCCCTGTCAGAGGCTATATATTCGCGTGGCCATGTGAGAGCATTACGAGAAGGAGAGCGGACTCTCTCCACTTTCGGCCGTACCAGGGCATTTGGGGGCAGACTCATCGAACGATAATTTAATGAAAATTGGATTGAAATAATTGATGCTTATTCTTCTGGTGATTAGTTGGAGTGCCAGTATATAAAATTTAATAATATTTTCATCTGAGGTTACTTACTTTACTTGCTTACGCCTCTTACTCCCAATGGAGCATAGGACGCCAACCAGCATTCTTCAACTCCGCCTGTAGCTTCTCCTGGGGTTACTGCCAGTCCCAAACCCGGAAAAAGGAGGAAGTTTGAGCATGGGCTTATCGAACCCATCCCGTAGAAAACAAACTCGCTAAAAAAACGCTAACCAGAAAAATATGAGCTTAAGACTACCATAAAAAAATATTTTTGACCAGACTACAAATTGAATGCAGGACCCGAATATGCTGTTCATCAAACTTTTACTGTCAGTAGAAGTAGGACGTTCAAGATAAAGTGACCCATTTGGTATAACTATTTGGTAGGAGACTTCTCTTATTAACAAAATCACTTTGAAATTACTAGCTAAACAGCTTGTAATAAATAATGATGGATAGAAGCTTATAAGAAAACTTACCATAACTACTTAATTTGACAGTAATGTTACTCAGAAACTGATGTTAGTTGACAGATGATTAGAAACTATGAGGTTGGCGATACTATTCTTTTTGACGGTAAATGTTACTGCATCTCTACGAAATTCTTCAATCACTGAGCAAACGAAAGGCAATTTATTTGTTCAACTTCACTTATTCAGAATGTAGTTCCACAGTATCTAGTTACAAACGATACTATTTTTATTAATCCTCACTGACCACAATTTATCATCAGAGTAATAAGAAATTTTCTTTAAAGCCAATTATGATTGATGATTAACGGTGAAATAGAAGAGTTTCTAAGGATTATCAGAAGGGGTTTTCTGGAGATTTAGTATTTTCATAGTTGAAAGCGTGAGTTAATTGAAGCTAGACCACCATAATAAGACGAAATGGCCGTCCAGTGCTTCCAAGTTTTCTGAAGATTATTTAGTGAACTGGTTTTGGATGGTGAGCTTTTGAAAATTGAAGCCAAAGCAATACTGGTTTTCTCTAGTTTTCACAATCACCCATATATCTTTAATTGTGAAGTTTGATCCATTCAGTTTATCGTTTTATATTAACCTATACAGAAAAAGCTTTAACTTTTTATTACAAAGTAGTAAATAAGATTTAGACCCTTGTTTGTCCGTTAAAGGAAACTGATTCACTGATTAAGTAACAAATGGACGACAGTTATGGAAAAAATAACTTTCTTCTGAAGTATAATCCAATGAATAATCATCATTAGTGTATACGACATATAAGATTAGGCGTTATAAATTTTGTTGATTGTATCAATCTGCACCCTCTATGAATTAGGAAACCTACTAGAATGTTTACTACACGTGTTGAATTTTAATCTGATCAATTTACTTTTTTATTCATTAGCAGTTATGGTCGATTGAAACCAGACGAGATTCATAAGTTTCTGGGTAGCGTTTTTTTTTTAGAGAGTTGGTTTTCTACGGGATAGAGTAGCTAACCCCATGCCCAACCCTCCTGTTTTACCAGGGCTTGGGACCGGCAGCAGCCCCCGGAGGAGCTACAGGCGGAGTTGAAAGCGGCTTGTGTCGGCCGTGAATGATAATGTTTCATGGGGTAATTACTGAAAAGTAATTAGTAAACAAAATTTAGACATGAATAACTTGAATGAATGAATGAAAGTGAAATGCCTCATTTAGTTTTAGTAACTTACTCATCGAAATATTTTGTTTTTCTTCTTCTTTGTGCTTAAAGGAGAGAAAAAAGGGATATAGATAAACTATTTGGATATATTAGACTGTTTACATTTTATTAATAAAATGTCAAACATTAATGTATATTACGCAATAGACATAACAATAATAATAATCATTTGAAATATATTTGGGGGGGGATAGGGGGCAAGGGGAATGTATAAACTACTGGGGAAAAAAGGAGAAAAAACTATCCATATGATGATGTTTACAATGATGTATATACGGCGATAATGACTAAATTAACTTAAAAATGGTTTATATTAGTTATAATTACTAAACTTATTGACTGGAATTTAGAAATTTTTACTTTTAATATTGGAATGTGGTTATCTACCATACAAAATATGTTTACCTACAGTATCCTATGGATAGATAGATAGTGGCTAGCAGTGGAATCCAGTTTGACGCGCGTTTCGTCCTACTTGGGAATAGTCAGCTGGATGTACCTGCATCTCAGAGTTGATGTTCACTCTGGGGCTCGAACCCAGTACCTTTCACTTCAAACACCTTCGCGTTATTCACTAATCTACTAAGTCCTACAGTGTTTTATAAATCAGTACAAATGAGTAAAATGTGGTGACGCAGAAATATGAACAAGTTGGAATGAAATTTATGACAATAGATAAGTAGGTTGTTATTATTAACATTAGCTATGACAACGTGCTTATTTAGCACTTTTGTCAAAAATGATTCACATGATCTAAAGACATATTGAATATCAGGCGACACTGAACTTCTATCTTCTTTGATACTTTTTAACATTACGTATCTAAGATTTAGCATTGGATTCGACCTGAGGATTTCAGGTTTCACAGTTTGAAACATAAAGAACATTAAATCAAAGTTTAACCGTTCAAGTTCTAGCCTCAAGTAGTTTGAAATAAAGTGCGACAATGTTTTAATATCATAAACGAAACGTACACAATGTTAAGCACATTTACAGTGGAATAGTCAGGAATTGTCACTGAAAATTCTGAAGTCCATCTATCATACGAGATCTGAAGGTCTTTGTTTCATTCTCGAACACACTTTTGCATGTATGGTGGAGAGGAGTTTCAAACAGAGAAGGAACAAGTGTCTGTTGCTTTCATAGTTTCTAAAAGTTTCTTTAGTTTATATTGGTTGAAGATGATGAAAAATATTAAACACATATTTTGCTGAAAACAAGCCACAGCATTACACTAATACTCCTCAAATTACCTCTAGAAGTTAGCTACTAGTAATCACGTCAAGTAGAGGTTAGAGAGTATGCGCAAGTCTAATGGCCCCCAGTCTAAACCTCGATCGAGTTGTGAATACACATTTCTACTAAGGAGTTCAGGGTACCCTGGTTTTCACTGTTTGTTTGTGAAGGTTCATCTATTGTCAGTTATTAGGTTTACGTGGAAGTTTATTTTTCATTCATAAGTGTAGTCTAGCTCAGGAATATACGATTTATATTTATGGTTTCAGTGATTTCATTATGTAGTATGATCATTATTTATAGAACTTATTCATCCAAACGTTTGACCTCATAAGTCAGCTCTGAACTATACGATCACTGTTGCTTGAATAAACCTTAACGTTCAGTGTGATCAACATCTACACAATTTAGCTGCATTTCGCTCGCTAGTTTAATCGGTTGAACATTAAGTACTACACTTACGTTAAATATTTAGGGAACTACTTTTTCTCTGAACTTTTAATCTAATGTTCTACCAAATTAGGCAGATGCACTTAGAAAATATTTTTTTCCAATAAATTAGTACCTCGAGTGAAACATCTATTTTGTCAATCATTAACCAAAGTGTACTTTTAATTTTGTTAGTACACAATATTGAGCGCGTAC